TATATATATGTAGGCTACCTTAAGCAAGAGAGTGGGGAAAGATTTCAGCTTGAAACGTTGTACGTGCACAGGATGATCCAAAAAATACCATACAACTTGTTTTGTAAATACCTTCATCCATACTAAAGTTTTGAGTTTCAGATTTGAACATACATGTAATATTTGGAAGCTAAAGGAATCTGTCCGATATTCATTTTAGACACGTCAATTTAACGGTTTTGCTCTGTATGGCCAGAAAAAAAAACCCATTTTCACCTCGGCCCCAATTTTTGTAGCATGCCGTATCAGTTCGCATTAGGCCTACCACTAAAAGTTGCAACAGTCGCGCCATATTGCAAGCTATAGCAGTCTAACAAGGCAACAGAAGTCTGCAGATTATATTATTTTTTCCAAAATGTGTTTGCCTGTTGAGATCATGGCCAAGAGCTTTTTGTATTGAAGATTACTTCTCCACAAACTCACCATCCCAGACGTTTTGTAAGTTCTGCGCATTGCATGGAAAGAATGCTTAGGTCGTGCTCTCGAGACCTTTGGTTACATGAGTAGAGAGGTTCCGTCAGATTGGATCTATAGCGAATCACAACTTAAAATTTCCTTTAAAATGAACACTTCATGTCGAACGCGCACCAAGCACAGCCCTTTAAACGTCACCAGGGCGCAGATTTCAGTGGTCGAGTCACATGAGACGTCTGTCCGTAGACGATCTGCAGCTAGGACTTTCCTACACCTCAACAGTCTGCATTCTCATGGAAAATCTAAACTTACGACTGTACCATTTTCATCTTCGCCAGGCCGAGATGACATGGACTGGAGCCTGGCAATGTGTTCATGAGTCCTCGATTGTCTTGAAAAGCGGGATCATTTCCTCGATGACTTTTGGTTTAGTGTGGGATCATCATCATCATCCAGTGCCAGATCTGCGACAGACATCGGCCATCATGATTTTCCATTCATTCCTTTGCTCGGATGCTCTCAGAAAAGCTACGTTTCCCTGATCTTTCCCTGTTACCCATTTATTTAGGTTACCTAA